TATATATATATATGTATGTACGTTAATTTATTTAACTTTGTAATAAAATTAAATATTAAAATTGTATATACGAAATGTTTAAATCCAATTTAAACGATGTAGTTCCAAACATTTAAGATTAAATATAATTTCTAAGTCCTAATTAGCCTAGAAATATTGATAAACGTATGTGGTGTTTTCGCTTCTATTTAATAAAATTATAAAACCGAAAATATATATGTAAATAAAAGGTTTATAAACTTTCAGTAAATTGCATAAAAAAAATTGTATAAAAATTAATTAATGAATAAAATCTTGATAAAAAGTTCTTTCTTCACGTAAATCTTCGATCCTTTACGCAAATCCTATTCCGCTAAATACATACTAAAATACTAAAAGTTAAAATCCAGGTTAATCATATTCTAAATTACTTCGAATCTATATTTCCTGGATTTTGAGTTTTGCAATATACGTATATTTTAAATCCTAAATATATCAAATCTTAATCGCCTTAATACCTGAGATTCCTAAATTCTGTTCATGCAAGCCTAAATTATTTTAATAATCATGAAGTCCCGATTCTCGAAAGAAGATTCTCAAGAAAAAATAAATTCAGTAACGGATTAACACATAAAATTTTTTGTCTTGAAAAATTTTCACACAGTTAAGATAAATTTTTTAATTTGTTACTCTAACGTTTTCGCACGAGTTACACAGAGCATATTTTATTAGAAACGATTTTAGATGTTAAAATATATTATATATTATATTTACAGTTAAAAATATATTATATTTATATTACTTATTAAGGATTATTGAATGATTTTCAGCTAATGCGGGAATATAAATCATTTTTTATTTATTTTTCCTTTTATCGAATTTATAAATTAATGAAGCCATCTGGGGGCGGCAAAATGCTTAACACTAGAAAGACCGAGGTAGCTAATTTGACTTTTTCACTTCTCGCGAAAAGAGAACTTTCAAACTAATATAACTTTTTTCAATTTTGCTTCCACGTGATATCCTTTTGTGATTTTTCATCATTTTTCATGTTCTTAATTTTAATAAAAAAATTTTCAATTTGTATAAAATGGTTAAATTTTTATTTTTATTTGTCTACTTAGAAAGACTGTTGAAGTCAATTTGACTTCTTTGTTCGGCCTTTCTAGTGTTAATCCGTCTGAATAAATTTGTTCTGTTTCTCAAATTAATGAATACTGATTTTATTTTCTAATATTAATAAATGTCTTATTAGTATCAATATTGATTTACTTTATAAGAAATCAAAACTAGACGTCATTAATTATTGTTCATTTTGTAAACACGTTTACCATCAGCACTTCTACTAAAATTCACGCACAGTAATGTCCATCATATCTCCATACTCTGTTTTTCGTCGATATCATTATTGCTTAATAAGATATAAGAGTCCCGACCAACCATCAATCGATGTTGACTATTTGTTAGGAAAGACGATCCTCTTCTAATGGTCCTCTTACCAAGTTCAATCGCCTCGTGCGCCAATACCGGGCTATTATACGCCTTTAGGAATACCGTAATGATGACTATAAGTCCGACTAGAACCATGCCATACGACAAGCAGGGCACAGCGATGTCGGCAAACGTGGTCGCCAGATAAATATATCTCCTAATGGATGGCGTAAGCTCTTCTATACCTTCCTCGATCCACATAATTGGGAATATTATATCAGGGAAATTCGCGACAACCCCGATATTGGACTGTTGTTCTACCTTTAGATTCATTTGAACGCGAACCTTTGCTTCGATCGGTATCCCTAGTTTCTGAGAAAAAAATTTTGATTATCCTAAATTTTAGACATGATATCTTCGTTATTTATACATGATATATTCTATTTATTTAATTGCAATCTATTAATTTTCTATTTATTTATTACTTATTAAATTTATATTCATTAATTTTTTTAAGTCAAGCTTAATTAACAAGCAAATTGATTGTATGTTTATACATACAATAACAGTAATTTTTAATTTATAATAATATATTAGAAAAGCATATGATGCATATCGTGAAATTAAGATTATATTTTCTCTATGCTTTACTCACTGGTTGGATTTTGAAATAAGTTTTATGCAAGTTTTCGATCGGCTTAAGTCCATCAATAGCATCTAACAATTTAGGATCCGCCTTATAAAAATGTGGGAACGAGAGATATACTGGTGCACCTGAAATAAAAAGCATAGATTTTATCTAATAGAATTCGAAGGATGTTTAGAAATTTTATTGATTTTGTAAAATATAAAACACTTACTATATTGGCATGGACTAATATCTTGCAAGCCTTGCGGAGGGCAACTGTCAATGCCATCCGAACAGAAGCAGTTATCTTCTTTAGTTATTTCATTTCGAGTAAAAAGTATATCCGTAGGAGTATATAAATCTGCCTTAATACCAGTCTTTTTTATCGGACCTCGATACTGCAATGGAAGTGTCCTACAAAGATCCTTGTCCCAGACATGAATGATATCCGCACCAGTCTGGTCTCGCGGCGGAAAGAAAGATCCTGCAAAAAACATTCCAAGTTTACTCGAAACAACTCAGTTTTATTTATTGCAATGAAATCTTAGAGGAATTACAATTTTAACACATTATTCTACTTATTTTTTATGTAAAAAAAGATTACCTTCCGAAGCCGTAATGGAATTGCATGGTGCGTTCGGCCAGTATGGCAAATGATCGAGCCCGTTTAATCGATTTATTAAACCAAACTCTTTCATGTTTGTGTGTCCAGTGAATATCGTAGATATCTCGCTTAATGTACCGTTTCTCTACAATCAAGATTTGATTATAAATTATTCTAGACTACAATATATCTCGCATCAATGACGGATTAAGTATTTTACTGCTCTTAGGCAATATTAAGCTGCTCCCAGATAGCTTTATTAATTTGATAAAAGAAAAAACGGATAAAAAAAAAAGTTTTTACCCCCCCGCATTAGCTGGTGAAAACATTTAATAATCCTAGTTTCTGATAAAATATGCTCGGTGTAACTCGTGCAAAAAAAAACGTTAGATTAACAAATTAAAAATTTATCTCAACTGTGTAAATATTTTCTGTCTTCGAAAGGAGGATGTTAAAAAGAAGCTGAGTTTTGCCCAAGGTGTAAGTAAAAAGAATAACGTTTTTTGTCTAAAGGTTCGATTTTTGTCTAAAAGAATGATAAGTAAAAGAAATAGTGATTTTTTTGTAGATTTTGACTTCTTGAATATGATAAAATTATTATATGATAAAATTATATGATAAATTATTATATGAATATGATAAAAAGTTCGTGATATTTAGGGAAAAGTACCTTGAATCAACAATCTTGAAAACTAAGTAAGAATATTGAAATGTGTTCAAATATATTATGTTCATGCTCAATTTTCAAGGTGTTGCCCCGAACTTTTTATTAATATTCATTGTATTCAGAAGATCAAAATCTATAAAAAAACGCCATTCTTATTATTTACATATTTATGGGCAAAAATTAATCTCTTTTTGACATCCTTTGCCGCCCCCTCAAATTTGCCGCCCTAAGCAAATACCTTGTGTGCTTATTCGTTAATCCGTCATTGTTTGACACATACATTAAGATATTGTATATATTATATATTAAGTATATATTAAGAAGTTATTTTGCATATAAGAAAAATATAGAGAGCGAAAAAAAATATACGTATATAATGATTATTACGTAATACTCACTCCAAGAAGAAGTCCCATTCTACTCATGGGCCGTCTTGTTTTGGGAAGAAATTTGTGACCTAGACTAACTAACGGATCGTCGTACCCGAAGACTAATTCCTGCGCAGTTATAGGAATGAACGGTTTCATATGCAATCCACTCAAGAAAATTGACAATCCCATTGTAATTAAACGAGGGAGACTCTTGCTTTGTGTTGAAAGTGTCTACAAAAAGAGTACTTGTTTACTTATATCTTCAAATCCAATAAGCAGAATGTCTAAAATCAACGCATAAAACAACTTTAAAATATCTTTCAAAATTCTTTACGGAATACTTGAAGATTTTTCTTTAAAAATTCTTGGAATATATTCAATTTTAGACATTTTATTCATTGGGAATCCTTGATGAATATTCCAACCAATATCTCTATTAATACAGAATTAGCTCTTAAAATTTATTTCTGATGATTATAATGGTATAATATTTTATACAATATTTTAAAGATTTTTTTGTATATTTCAATAAAATTAATTAAATTTATATGTTTTATTAATGAATAAAAAAATTTACATAAAATTCTTCGAAAAAATAAAATTTTTATTGCCTCAATACTGCCTCAAGACCATCGTATTTTCAAGGTAAATTCCAAGAAAAAAATTCTTTCGAGGTAAAAATACATTTACAATTCTATTTCTACATTAACTCACCAGCAAAGGTATATTTGGCACTATTACTTTAGTATCTCCATCTTTAGACAATTCAGGGACAAAATTTAAAATTTTCTTATGTTGATAACTAACGGTTCCATTATTATGAAACACGATGTTAACTTTTTCCATATCCTCTCTGTAAAGTATGTATTCAATTTTCTCATTAATTATTGTTGTCTAACAAAAAATGAGTTTTTTAATTCATCGATTGATTAATCGCGTTATATGCAAATGCAACTTTTACAGAACAAAGTTGCATTTGCGCATAGTGCGATTGATCAATCGATGAATTAAAAAACTTGCCTGAAGTTACGTTAACATAAATACGTAATCTGAATTATGCAGATAATTTGTTCACTTATATTACTTTGGAAAAAGTAAAATGTAAGAAAAGTATAAATGTAAGATTTAAAAAACTAAAATAACGATAAAATAATTATTCGAAGAAAAATAGATTTTAAATTTTAGATCTTATTCATCGATTGCCTTAATGTTAAACAAACAAAAGGTCTTACCGATAAACGAACGGGCCTATTTCCTGGAGTTTCGGCTTCTCATTATACTGCAGGAAACCTTCCGTATTGGTTACGTTAAATATATAGACTTTAGTCAATCGAATTACGCCCGGCTTCTGCCAATATTGAAACGAGATCGAGCCATTCCAGAGTCGTAGTTGCTGGAAAGCAATAGTGAATTGCCGAGATTATTACCAGCGTATATGATTTCTCTCACATTAAAACTGCAATTTGTTGCGTGCACGTTGCATTTAGAGTAATTTATCATGATTTTTTTATGCAAAATAGTCATTAATCAAGTCAAAAAAAGTCATCAAAGTTTTTATAATCTTAGAAAATTGGACTATTAGCGATCGATTTATTGCATATTGATCTCGTAGAGTATCTGAAATTCTTACACGAGTAGATTCTTGCATTTCAAATGTCTATCTCACGATGCAATTCATATAATTTCTGGAGAAATTAAAAACAAAAGAATAAAAAACAAGGTAATATTGAGAAACTCGCCGTTTTATTTATCATTGACATGAGAAATCATCACTTTCAAGATTCTTTTTGTAAATAAATTTTTATTATCCTCAATAACAAACAAATGTGCGAAAAGAGAAAGTTTAAAAACGGAAATAAATCTTTATTTATGTTGCAGTAAGTAAATAACTAGACATGGATAAGTAACTAAACATTAATCTAATCGCTTTTCCGGAGATTAATCTAATCTCACAGATAATCGAAACATTGAAGCTTATGAGATAATATTAGAAAAAAATCATACAGACTGTATTTAACAAAAATTATAAACTATAATATTAAATAAATAATATAAAAATTATTTATATAATAATCTGTAAATTGAATTCAAATTGTGCAAATAGCAATATTTATACAAACAAATTGTAGTAATATATTTGATTCATAATGTTGTGCTGACAATCATTTGCACTTGCAGACATAAATTATCTGCAGACGACATAATGTGCGTGCGTAATACGGCTTCAGACAATGAAAGACATTCCGAAGATATTTACTGTGAATACAAATACACTTCATAAATGGTTGCCGTAAAAAAAAATTAAATATTCATTGCATTAAAAATTATTTTGTTTAAATATGTTTACTTTATTTATAAAATTATATATAATTTCATATAATTGATTTTAAAAGTAAAATAAGAAATAAGATAAAATACATCAAAATAACAACTTTATGATTAAACACGATTAAATTAATAAACAATCGCCAAAATTGTGTTTCAGTAATTCATTATTAAATTAATTTACAGCTTTTCTCTTTCTTCTTTTCTTTTTTAAGATGAATAAATATACTCATTGCGATTTGTAAAAGATATTCTAAAAGCTTAAATAAAAAAACATTTTATATTCATATATAATGTATACTTTTTAAAATTTTCTTAATACTGATAAAAAGCTAAATACACAATTTTTAAGACACTGTAATGACTATATTTATCAAATGTCCGAAGATATCGTTCACGAATGTATA